TTAAGCAAATGGAAGACGAGGTTCTTGTTTTGCTTGTTCCCGATCCTTAGCCTGTGCTACTTGTCAGGAAATCAGACGGGCCAGAGATTCAACGAGTCGACCTTGGGAGCGTGGGGCAGGCATTTGACGCGGGAAGGCATTTGATGCGGGAAGGCAAAACCACCTGTTTTGACAGTGGGCAATGGATTTCCCCAAATCAAAAGTTGACGAATTTACTGGTGTCCAATGAACTGCCCCTTTGGGAGGATCCAAAAGGGAAATGTTTGATAGTTGAGATAGTTTTCCTCGAATTTGGATCAACATATTAAATGGTATTTCACAACGTTTCACAGAAACTGACCTAGCCTCTGGTGTCTCAGGAACTGCACCCCCTCTGGGTGTTTTCCCTTACGCCCACAGCTCGCCCACGGCTCGCTCGCTCGCTCGCTGGCCACTTCGATCAGGTGCTGCGCCAGCTGCAAGGGAGAGCTGCGCCGGAACCCCAACAAAAACGAGCGGTTGCCACGTTCAAAGGAACCAGGTACTATAAGAGTTTCGCGGGACCTGGGGCCTGAAACCGCACGGGGTTCCTTAATGGGTTTCCCTTTCACCAACCAACAAGGGGTCAAGGGCCATTTTGAGAAAGACAGGGGCTTGCGACGAATTTGTTGTTTGATTGGCACCCGTTTTGCCGATATCGTTTACATGTCCTCCACGCTACCGAGCACATTTGGGTTTTGTTGAACTGAGCTGACGAAATTGCTAGTCTATGGCTGCTTTGAGAGGGACGAGCCATGGACTACCCAGTCTTCCCTATCTTCTCACAAATGCTCGTGGGGATTCCATTCTGCACGAGCCGACAAAATGTTGATTGCCTTAACCGCCCACTGGGAATGTTCTCAAACTTGTGTCTCCCCAACAGCGTGTTTTCCTTGGGTCCTCTGGAACACAGCCTCCAAAAAGTTTACCCGCAACAAGACATCCCCGAATTTGCAGCCAAGGGTGTAGGTTCCCTCGGCTGGTCTGTGGAATCCTTCTTGTTGCAGCATTTCTCCACTGCTGGGTGTCTTTTTGTGACCGGCTCACGCTTCAAATCCGGCAACCCGATTTCCCCAAGACAGGGCAGTACGGCTCGGCACCGTGTGGGAGTGTCGGCTCCTACCAGAATGAGTATCTCATTGGCCGACATCTGCAAATGCGTCCTGGATATATGAAAGCTTTTCAGGATGGTCACCCCTTGGTTTTAGGCGAGGCCTGTTTTTTTTTAGAGATCTGCCCATTTGAATCCAAGACCAAGAGCTGTGCTGAGCCTTGTTCTCCCGGGCAGCATGGTCAAGCCCCCTCGCATCTTGAGACACAACGTTGTGGACTATGTTGAGCCATGCTGGGATTCTTGCCATGTTGGGTCAGTTTGAGTGGTTTTGGCCACTTTGGGCCTTAGAAGTACAGCATGTTTGGAGGCCCAATAAGGTGCAGATGAAGCCCTGGGCGTTTGGTTGAAAAAAGCTACGCACAACTATGTGCCTTTGCCAATCACACAGATCTTCTTTTATCGTGCTACAAAAGAAACCATGCCCGGCCCACATACTCTCCTTCCCCCAAAACCCAAAACTCCTTATTGTAAACGCTTCGCGTTGCCCGCCTCGGCCCAGCCTAGTTTGAGGGAAGGGTCAGGAACACCGAAATCCAGTGTTGGGAAGGTCCGAATCCTACTGAAAGCTTGTGACCGCACCAGTTCGCCCGTGCTAGTTCGATGTTCGGAAGCCGTCCTGCTCGGAAGGTTTGAAATCCAAAACCAAGACTGTCAGCCTGGGCTGAGCTGCTTGGGCAGCCGGACTGGGGGGCTGGGGCACGTCAGACAGGCTTAGTAGCTGGCGTAGCTTGAGACCAGTCTCAGACACGTGAGACTGGTCGTTGGCCTGAGGCCAGTCTCAGACACGTTAGACAAACCTGACCTTGGCACGCTGGGCTGAGCCTGCTGGTGCCAGCTGGGAGCTGGGGGCCGGCCCAGTGGCTGGCATGCCCTGAGATGCGCCGGGGCCTGGGCTGGGCAGGCTGGGCTGAGGTGGGTTGCTGGTTGGGCTGGGCCTGAAGCTAGTCTCAGCCACGAGGCTGCGAAGCCATGGGTGGGTTGGCCGGACTACGCTGCTGGTTGCGCCTGGAACTTGGGCCGGGTTGCTGGATGGGCAAGGCCTGTTTCATACACACTTGGGCCTGAGGCTGGGTGGCGGTTGCTGGCTGGGCTGGGCCCAAGGCCAGGTAAGACACGCCAGCAGGCGGGCTGAGGGACTGGGCCTGAGGCTAGTCTCAGGCTGGCAACTTTCAGACTGCGCCGAAGGGGCTGGGCCTGCTGGGACTTGGGGCCAGACGCGAGCAGGAGGTCAAGGCCTGGCCAACCTGGGCTGGGCTGAAGCTAGTCTCAGCCACAAGGCTGCGAAGCCATGGGTGGGTTGCTGGCTGCCGGGCAGCCGGACTACGCTGCTGGTTGCGCCTGGAACTTGGGCTGGGCGGGCTGGGCTGAGCTGCAGGAGATCATGCTTTTCAGGACAAAAAAGCATTGTTTTAGTGATTTTCGCAATTGTCAGCACATTTTCGGACAAAAATAGACCCATGAAACTGGACGCCGACGAACCCCGAAAATTTCAAGGCCCGCCGGACTGGATTTTAGGCCAGCCGACATGGGTGAGGGGGGGGGGGGGGGGGGGGGGGGGGGAAAAGCGAAGATTCTCTTTGAAGAAGAGATCTGAGCGCCCTTGGCCCCTTTGGGGCCGAGGCGAATTAATAGCTTTTTCGTGGTTAGCCTGTTTGCCTGGGTGCTAGGGTGGCGATTTGATTTTCTGATGCCGAGCCAGGCAAGGCACTCAAAAGTTTCGGGTGTGTTTCAAGGTGCTTTTTCAGATTCTGAACTAGACAGTCAAGCAAGGTCTTGGCACCGAACAGGCAGTGATTTGTCCTTCTTGCTTTGCTGCTTTCCCTTTCGCAGTGGTTTGGCAAAAGAGCGATTGAGTACAGAGGATTTTCCAGCTTGGCCAATCGACCATTCTGAACAGCCCAGGAGAAATACATGGCGGTCTTAAAGTAAATCACCTTAAGCATACAACATCCCACAAAGTGGAGATTTGCCATAGGCGGTGCTACGCTGGGCAAGACTGTTTTTGTTTCAGGTGCATTGTTTGGCTGATCGACGCGCTAGTTTTTCTCATCACCTTCCCCCATCAGAGGGATTGCTGCGTCTGGCACCCACAAAGGCAAGGCCCCCTGAGAGAGGCGCAGGAGGCGGGCATGCTGATGCACATTGGTCCTTTGATGTCCTTTGCCGGATTGGTATCTGAGACAAAGTCTACACCATGCATTGGGTTCATAGATGTGTGTTCTCGTTTGATTTCATGTATGTGTGCGAGGCTATGTAATTCATTCAGATATGTCTTGTTCTTACACAAAGCTATGTTGCTGGACGCCTTCTCTTGTCACGCATTCGACTACACTCTTTTCAAGGAACACCGTTTCGTCAAAGCAACCCAAGGATTGCGCACAGTCCCAAGCGGTGACAACAGTGAAATGATGATATGGACGAGTTCTATGCTGGGGGGTGTCATTATTGTTGTGGTCTTATCTCTTACACGTTATGATTCTGATCTTGGTGATTATTTGCTCATAGTTGCTCTTATGTGATTGTCCGAATCGTGCTTGTTTATCCAGTGCGTGTTTATGTGTGCATGCTGTTTGATGACTCCTATGTCCGAGTCATGCATACACACATGATTTATCTTTCTATGGTAGGCTTGTTGGTAACGATCATGGCTACCATAGAAACGGACAAACAACCAGAGCCAGCGTCCCGCACCGCCTGTAAATCTGCCCACCGGCAGGTGCAAGAATTGGTTCCGGGCCCAGTTTGAGGTTTGGGGATGGGGCAAGGGGCAGGTTGACAAAAGAACGGCGTCAGCGAAGGTCATCGAAGGAGATGAGTTATAGGCAGTGGCAGGTCCCTTTTATTGGTTTAAGGCTCGATGTTTGATGTTGTTGGGGCCCAAGTGGAAGGCGGCGTGGTGATATATCAGAACATGAAGTGTAATTCATTCAGAGACAAGATGAAAGATTCGACATAACGTTGCTCTCACACAAGAACTCCCGTCCAATCCTTTCTACTGACTGTTTTCTTTCCCCTTTGAAGAAGCTCGTCATCCTGTTGAAGGCTGTTGCCTTCGTGGCGGCAACTTGCACCAACACGGGATCGCACCTCTTGAGCTACGGGGTGTTGACGCGCCGCGTATTCGTTTGGCAATGCACACAGCCGCAAAACATATTTGACGCCCATGCCAGACTCCAGGCAAACTGCGTCCAGCATGCTTTTCGCCGTGCTTTTGGCCCAACCGTGCCGAGGTAGGGGAGGGGATATAGGGTTTGTCAGTTACTGCTAGTGCCAGACCCGCTATGACATAGTCCTTCCCACGAACAAGGTGCACAGGCACGGAGTTCTGATAAATCCACATTTCATTCTGCTCACTACAACTGCCATTTGGGTGGCCCGTCTTTTGCAAGGTTGAACCCCCCAAACTGGCTTCGGTGTGCGTTTGGTATCCTTTCAAACCAAGCCGACAAATGGAACCACCAAAAAAGACAGATCCACATTGCTTCCGTTTTGTCTAAGCTTCGTATACACGAACATGTAGAGTTGTAGAGTTGCGCAGCGAATTATTCATACGTGGATTTCTGCATTCATGCCAGGCCACATATTCACATTACGCTTTCATTCGGGAATCCCAGGCACGCAAAACTTATAGTCCTTGTCTTGACAAGACCGGATGGGACTTCAACCTGGTGTCTTGAGTGTTTTAGATGTTTCCAAACATGCACTCGGCTTGCGCCCAGCATTGTAGGCCAATGTCGCTGGTTGATGCACTTAATTTTGAGTACACAAGTCTAAACTGTCAGCTTTCCCAGGGACCGAAAAGGGATGGCCATGTTTTGGCTCGATGTTTCCCAGCCTCATGACAGATGAACATTTTGGCGCCCGGTATTGAACCTCTTCATGCGCCTTCCAAAGGGCCGTCTACGCGCCTACCGGTCGCGTCGATGCCATGGCAACGAGTACGGGCCAGGCGAGGTGTCGTTGGACGCCGAAGGAGGGCATACCAAACAGGGGCAGGTCTGCCAGCCTGCCGTCTTTCGGTTATTTTTGATTTGTGCTAGGCTTCTTGTAATGGGAGGTTGCCACAAAGACGATGTGCTCATGCATATCATGTTGAACATGATTTGGTGCGTTGGTTCATAGTCGATTTGTTGTTTGCAGTTTGTGATGTTTCTCGCCTGCTTTCGTGCTGTTGTTTTGCTTTTTTTGGGTCGCTCAGCGTTTGCTTGATCGATTGTTTGCGCTTTGATAATTATGTCGCTTGATTAATTGATTTGTGACCATCCCATGGTTTGACTTTGTCGATCTTTGAGTGCGGTGGCTTCGTTGCCTACGTGTATAGTTTCTCAGTTATCCAATCGGTTGTGTGTCAAAATTAAACCACCCGGGAACCATAGGTTTCAGTCCAAGTTTACTTTCACCAAGGTTTCATTTTGAATACCTATTTTGACCCGTCGTCGAGTTTGTTTGTTCCCTTTCAACCTGTTGTTTTGCCCTTCCATGCTCATCAGGCACCCCGTAGTTGGGTTGGATTGGAACTGGGAAGCCCCTGGTTGCAGAGGGTAGCTGGGAAACCCCTCCTTAACCACGAAACCATTTAGTGGGAAGCTGAGGTGATTGTTGCCCGGCTCTTGGCTTTTGTTCGAGAGAGGAAACATGCTGCGTCAAGGTGGTCCGTTGATTTCCTGGCTGAACGGACAGGCGGTCCGGGAGACCTTGCTGGACGGCAAGGCGAGATGGGTCCACAGAATTGTGAGCCCCCAAGCTGTTGTTTGGGCCAAGAATGCCAAGGGCTACACTGCATGTAAAGAAGAAAGCGGTTTGTGTTCGTGTGCAGACCCGCATGTCATGAAAGCTGGAATTCAGTTCTACAAAGCTCCTGAACTGTTGCAAGACAGTAATGTTGTGCAGATGTGTTTGCGGTTTTTGCATGCCATGTATAGCTTTGAACAGCATTCGTACGGAATGACATCAGAATGACATGAGTGGATCCTGCTGTCCCCTCCCTAAGTTGCTTTGGGCGCATGCCACCTGCGTACTGCAAAGCAGCTGCAGTTTCTTGTTTATGGAGAGAGTCAGCCATTGCCCACTCCTAAATATCCTCTGCCATGGACATTTTGGGGACACAGCTGTGTTGTTTGATGTTCCGTTTGGATTGTACGATGCACAATTCGTGCAATTGCAATACGGGTCTCGAATTCCGCTTCTCAAATCAAGCTTAATTCGAACAAGGAAAAGGATTATGATTGCACCGGGATTAGTGCTTGCTATGCCATCGGTGCATTGTTGGGCGCTTGTGCAAGCAGACTGTAGCCACTCCAGTCTGCTATGTTGCAAACCTTGCTAGCTCACCTGAGTCACAATCAAAGCCAGGGTGAGTGAAGGTAAGTAAGGGAAAGACCCAGCCGGAATTAGTTGCGGCCCCCGTTCTAGTTCTTTACATGGTTCTGGGTCGACCATTTGTGTACCGGGTTTTGACTATGACACACCTGTTGCTAACCATGGTACTTACTTCAGCCGTGTTCCCTGATTCACGGCTGGCCTTTCGGGCCAAACAACGTTGAGTTTGACTGGCTAGCGAAAGGCGAGTCAAGCAGTGAGAAGGCCAGTGCTCTTCCGGAACTTGAGTGCTGATTGTAGAGCCTTCGAATTGAGCATGCCACCGGCTAGCTTTCCGACTTTGGTTTGAAGCGACCAGTAAAGACATCAATTTCATGACCACAAGCAATCATCGCGCGTATCCCATGACTCTCTGTCATGCCAGGGCGATGAACGTCAACTTGCCCCAAATTCACAGCTGCCAAAGAGCATATGTGGGTTGATCAAAAGGTCCTTATTTACATCTTTAATGTTACATGGGATTACCATCAGGGAGCCACCAAAAAAGATGACTTTTCCCGCATGGTCATTTGGCGGCCTTCGGGATGTTGATCAATCCGCATTCCAAGGAAAGCCCTCCTGAGTGTTCAAACCAAACCGCTCACGCGCTGCTTTCGGAGGTGCCTCTACCGCCTCGTGCAGGGTCCAAGCATGGGCGGCGAGGCAGAGATCCCTTTGCTTCACAGAGCTGAGCGCGACTCGATGGCTGCAAGCCGCTCTTATCACTTGACACGGGTGGCTCGTCTTTTTTTGAGGCTAGCCTTTTGGGTGTTGGCTTCAAGAAAACCAAAGGTACCAATTTGGGGGTCCCCTAAAAAATGACACCCATGCCTGAGCTTGGAATCGCACGTCGCGGGTCGCAGCTTGGCGCGAGCTGATGGCCATTGCTTGTCTGCTGTTTGTTTGGATCTTTAGACTCTAACTTTTTGCGATATCAAGGGGGTTTCTGCTAAATCCCCAAAAAGTGAAAAACTTTTTGCAGGGGGGTCGTTGCAGCAACAAAGATTGGCTGCGCAGCTTGGCGCAGGCGCCTTCCTAAAGTCGACCACCCGCCGGGACTTGGACGACCACCCTGAGAACGCGCCCGGCGCCAAGCCGAGGATCCAACTGCCGGGGGGTTGCCATTCAGGTCAAAGCCGACGCGAGTGCGTCAAAATGCGCAAGACCCCAAACACAAAGGTGTTTTTATTTTTATTTTTGTTGACCTTTACATTCATCCCCCCTCGCAAAAAAGCAACAAAAAACAACAACAGGGGTATACTTCAAAACACAGGCGCACACGCACACACTCATTGGTCCGGGTCACCATTCATTTTGACCGGTACGATCAGCTGGTAGTGTGGGGATTCCGATCGGTCCCCGACATTGTGCTTAGCTCACGCAAAGATCTCACAGCTCCAACAAGTCCGGTTGGTACCCAGGTGGGTTTTGGGGGGCGTTCTGTTTTCATAACCACACGTTTGGCCCAAAGGTGTCATGGCCCGCAGAGCCATGGCGCAGAGACCGACCGATCTTTGGATTCGCAAATCCAAGCACTTGAAGTAGCACACACACACACACCATACTGCGGAGGGACGAACTCCATTTCACGCCAGTAAACCACAGGGGAAACCAAAACGTTCGTTGATGTGGATTCTCATGCAGGGTTTCTTAGGTGTTGCAGGATTTTGTGCATCGACACTATCTCGCTCCTACACATGCGGCTTGCACATATGTGACAAGTATGCCACCACCAAGTGTTTCTTGGCGCGACTCATATTTGACCGATCCACATCTCACCGTCATCCCGCACAAGGGTCGCAACTATGTCACATCACATCTTACCGCTATTTGGTGGTCTTTACATTACTCCCGCATCAGCTTGTGTAGTGTTGTTTGTCAGACGAGGTCAATTGTCCACTCACGTGTCTTTCTGTGTAACGGAGGCAGAACAGGCTGAGAGAAGGTGCCCACAAAGTATCAGCAAGCTGTTAGGCAAAAGTCTGTCCAGCTGCCATGTGTATTGTTGGCAGAACTATGGAAGGCTACATAGTGTAAGTCACATGACATTAGCCATATCATGAAAATCAGTACCAGTAAAGCCGGCAAGACGGGTGGCGGAAGTTTCAAAAATATATAAATTATAGTTGTTCTCTTTCTCTTTCTTTTCTTGACTCTTTTTCTCCGTCATTATTCCTCTCTTCCTTTCATTCCTTCCTTCCTCCCTTCTTTCCTTCTTTCTATCTGTCTTTTCTTTCTTTCTTTCTTTCGTTTGCATGTCTATCTATCTTTCTCTACCTATCTATACCTAACTACCTGTCTATCCATCTCTCGTGTTATCTATCTATCTGCTTATCTATCTATCTATCTCTCTATCTATCTTCTCTATCTATCTCTCTATCTCTCTATCTATATATCTACCTATCTCTCTATCTCTCTATCTATCCATCTCTCTATATCCCTCTATCTCTGTCTCTCTCTTTCTCTATCTGTCTCTCTATCCCTCTTTCTTTCTATCTTTCTATCTCTCTTTCTTTCTATCTATTTATCTCTCTATCTCTGTATGTATCTCTTTCTATCTATCTATCTATCCATCTATCTCCCGCGTATCTATCTATCTATCTATCTATCTATCTATCTATCTATCTATCTATCTATCTATCTATCTATCTATCTATCTATCTGTCTATCTCTCTATCTATCTATCTCTATATCTCTCTGTCTACCTATCTATCCATCTCTCTCTCTATCTGTCTCTCTCTCTCTCTATCTATCTATCTATCTATCTATCTATCTCTCTATCTCATTATCTCACGTGTATTTATCCATCTCTCTATCTCTCAATCTATCTATCCATCTGTATTTCTACTTATCTATAGATCTACCTATCTATCCATCTCTCTATCTACCTCTCTCTCTACCTATCTATCTATCTATCTATCTATCTATCTATCTACCTCTCTATCTATTTATCTATCTATCTATCTATCTATCCATCTATTTATTTCTCTATCTATCTACCTATCTATGTATCTCTTTCTATCTCTGTTTCTATCTATGTATCTATCTCTCTATCTATCTATCTATCTATGTGTCTGTCTATCTATCTATCTGTCTGTTTATTGTTTATCTATTAGTTTATTTATCTCTCTATCTATCTATCTGTCTATCTATCTAGCTAGCTATCTAGCTATCTATCTAGCTATCTATCTATCTCTCTTTCTTTCTATTTATATATCTCTCTATCTCTCTCTCTCTCTCTATCTCTCTCTATCTATCTATCTATCTATCTATCTCTCTATCTCTTTATCTCTCTCTCTCTGTCTATTTATCTATCTATCTTGCTCTCTCTCTCTCTCTCTATCTATCTATCTATCTATCTATCTATCTATCTATCTATCTATCTATCTCTTTAGCTGCGAAAGTACTTTCGTACTTAAAAGTTGCGATTTTCGATCCCCAGCTACGAAAGTGGACTTCGCGTACTACTTTCGTACTTGAAAGTTGGGATTTTCAAGCCCGGCTGCAAAAGTGGACTTCGCGCACTACTTTCGTACTTGAAAGTTGCGATTTGCAAGCCCCAGCTGCGACAGTTGACTTCGCTTACTACTTTCGCACTTAAAAGTTGCGATTTTCGAGCCCCGGCTGCGAAAGTTGACCTTGCAAAAGTGCTGCGCCTGCCACGAATTCTGCACTTGACCTTGCGAAAGTGCTGCACCTGCCACGAAATATGTACATGACCTTGTGAAAGTGCTGCGCCTGCCACGAAATATGCGCGTGACCCTGCGGAAATGCTGCCCCTGCCACGAAATATGTACTTGACCCTGCGATGACGCCCCTGCCACGAAATCTGTTCCTGACCTCGCGAAAATGCTGCCCCTGCCACGAAATCTGCATGCGCCGCCTTGCGCGTCCGTGCCAATGGGATTTGCGATGCGTCCGTGCCAGAAGTAAGAAAATGCCGCGCCTGTCACGAAATCTGCACTTGACCTTGCGAAAGTGATGCACCTGCCACGAAATCTGTACCCGACCTTGCCAAAATGCTGCGCCTGCCACAAAATTTGAACCTTGCGAAAGTGTGCGCGTCCGTGCCAATGGTCCCGGCGCGAGCCCGTCCCGAGCCCGTCCCGAGCCCGTCCCGAGACCGTCCCGAGACCGTCTCCGTCAGTCGCCGCGACCGGGGTAGCTTTCAGCCAGCCGGAGAAGCCAAAACCCGCAGAGGGTTGCACTTTTTGCAGATTTCTATTCCCCCGCCACACGTATACGCACGTTTTCTCGCATGCATTCTCTTTCTTCATCTCATCTTTGCGCAGAGCTACCTTTCAATTAGTTTCCGTAACTCGGAAGTTTCCTTCTAAACTTCCTTTGATAAGGGGACCTCGGGGCGTGTGCGCTTGTGTTGGTGTGTTTGCTAGTTTGTGTTTTGGCGAAAGTTTGTGTGTTCGTTCCACTTGCACTGTTGGAACCCCCTTTGCCTATGACACACCCTTCGGTAATGTGTTGTGCACCATTGCATTGCTGCGCGGGCGATTTGAACTTGAGTTGTGATTCATGTGTTGCGTCACTGACGTTTTTGTGTCCCCCTCTTTGCGATTTAATGTTGACCCCGGATAAACCCCTGTTTATTAAACTGGGGGTGTCCCTGGTTTTAGCGGGGATTCAGACCACTTTTGGAGGGGCCCCCACCCCCAGCCCCATATGAATCAAGGGGGTATAGTAGTCCGGGGTCAACATGTGGACAAGCTGCGTCCCCAAGCTGCGTCAACCTTGGTCAAACTTTGGGAAGCGCAGGCGTGAGCTTCTTCCCGTGGAAAATTCCGCAGGTTTGGGCGGGAAACAACTCTGTGGTATGGGAACTGGGGCCAGCGCCAATTGAGTGTGTCTTTTTTTTGGGGGCGGACCCGGTGTGTCTTTCTTTTTGGGGGGAGGGACCCACCATAATGGAGAGGCTTTCCAGTTGGTTTTCCCTTTAAAGGTACCGAAAATGGGGTGCCCTCCAAGAATCTGACGCGCCAGCCCAGCAGGGGATACGGGGAGCGAGCGGCCGGTGGCACATGCCCATCCCGATTCAAATGGCTCCAGAAGTGTTCCTCAACTGGTGGTTTGAATTCTCAGTTGTTCAAAGCGAATTGACCTTTTGACCTTTTGGTTTTCGGTGTTTTTGCTCTATTTTTAGTAGAGGTCCCAGATAAACCTTTTATTTGCAGGTCCTTTGGGCAAGTGAGAATTGGTTTGGGGATTGGAACCCCCAGCTCCTTTTGACACCAAATGGGGAAGCTACCCCCTAAGGTCCAAAGCACGAAACCAAATCAGAAATTGGAAGGAAGCTGATCGATTTACAGGTCGAAAAGCCACGCAATTTGCCAAGACCCATGTTGGCACATACTCATTTCATGACTCATTTGCTCCTGCTGGCTTCGTTCGATGGTGAACCATGTTTAATACTTGTGCGGCATGTTGAGACCTCGCTCACAGAATTAGGACATTTCACCAGCTTTGTCAGGACAGCGTTGGAGCCTTCATAGAACCACGAACGATTCAATGCTTAAAGCCAATGGGTTTTGAATCAGGCAGACAGTGCCAACAGAGGGCCAGCCCGCCATATGTTCATGTTCCCACCAGACAGTTGGCAACATTGGGCCAGCCTGCCATCCCATGTCATAGGAAGAAACAGCCCATGGCGTGAGCAAACAATTCAACGAGCCGGCTCTGGGCTTTTCCAGGAAAACTCGCTATATGTCCCTTCTTGGCGGAGATAAGTATCACCCTAGCTCATGAAAGGTGAGTGTTTGGGGGTGATGTTTTTAAGGAGGAATATAGAGCCTTGTTTTCATTCCGCCGGCCGATAGGGCAGATGAGTCTCCGAAGGCGAGAGAGAGAGAGAGAGACGAGTCGCGAGCCGCGAGTTGAGGGAGTCTCCGCGAGTTGATGAGGGATACAATCTTGGGGGCTTTATGCAGATCTTTCCACAAAGATGCACATACATGCGTCAAGCAGAGTGGAAACACCCAGTGGTGCCCTTCCTTTTTTTTTTTTTTTTTTTTTTTTTTCGAAGGGTGCCCCTTTCAAGTCAGGGAGGCAAGAAAGGGAGCCCTTTTGTCCCCATCACTGGGCATCTGAGTGGTGTGCAAAATCAATTCCCAGCTATGGGGTCGATATGCGGGGGGGGGGTTCGGAGTTTTCCGGAGGGGTGCGTTGGGGCTGTTGGGTCCTGATAACCAGGGCTGGCATACGCCTCAAAAAGAGATCAAATAGGGAAGAGTGGTTTTTGTTGATCCTCGTTTTTTTTTCTTTTTCAGGTACTCACCAGGGCTTGTCTAATTATTCAATATTATCCAATTTACGCGCCCCACTGGAAAACACCCTGGTTGCTTCAATGGCTGGCATAGAACATCCCAGGGCGCATGGGTAAGCATCGACGACCTCGATGAAGCTTACCTGCGCGTTGCTTTCACCTGAACCCGGCTAGGCAACTTGAGTTCAGGCGTCTTTTCTAGGTCTGCATCGATTGGCTCCAAGAGACAAGTTCCAGCATGGCACCATTGAGGTTCCTTGAAAGATGCCCTTCTCCTCTCCTACACACTCACAGCCATTTAGTCAAATTAGCCCCTGCCGTTTTCAGTGATGCCTTCCTTTCCAGGATCGCAGTTGTCGATCCCCAAAAAAGTGCAAAACAGGCTTTGGCGTCCAAGCAACAATCAAACTTCTTGACTGAACGAGTGAATCCTGAACCATTTTGGTATGGAAATGGACAGCTCGATTGAAATGGACACTTGTGTCTAGTCCTCAGCTCATTGTTGCATGCGCCGAACTGATGTCTTAATGATAATATTTTCTTCCTCCCGACAGCCTCGGCAGAGTCGCAGAGTGTTCCATTTTGGTGACGGTTGTTTATTCGTTCAAGATTACTTCAGGTTGCCCGCATGTTCAGCTGACACGCAGGTGAATGAACACCTCACCAGGCAGGGTGCGAGAAGAGGGCGTGGATGTGCAAAGGTGCTTGGCAAAGGAGTGAGATACCTATAACCGGAGCAACTGGGTATGTGTCCAAATAGGAGAACCCCGAAACGGCGGGTTCCTTCTTGTTTGCCATTTCAACGATCCCGCCAAAAGGTTACTCTCAAAGTCGACCACCTATTGGTCTTGTACATCAGAGGCTGGCCTGCACTGAACGTCAAGCTGACCTTTGCATGTGAAACCCCGCAAAATCTGGTTGATTTGCCTCAGCTTTTTGCGCCGGGGCCCCTGCATCGCATGTCCCTCCATTGCACTTTGATCTGAGTTGCCGAGGTCCGAAGGCCGCGCGAGCGTTCAGAGATGGGTATGGGTCAAAACCAATGCCATTTTGGATGGTAGGTGCACCGCCCATTTTAGAACCGATTTTAGTGGGGATTGGGATGTTCACTGGGGGTACGGGATTTTGGACCCATGGCCATATATTCAGATGTGCGTATTTGTGCTATACTATATGGCGGGTTTGCGGAAGATGGCTCCTTCCAATAGAGGCCTTAGGTCTTATCCGGCCTCATGCAGCGTGAGCCACACGTGTTGAGACCATGAGTGCCTATCTCACTTCTCCGCATGTCTGCCTACTTTGCGGGCGATCCTCTCGGTCTTTATCAGCAGATATGTCAATTTTGGGAAGTCCTGACGACTTTCCTGGAGGCTTTGGACCTCAATTTGGGTGGGGGTTGATGTCCACCGTTCAGGGTGCATGGCTTCTTGAATGACAAGCTGGTGTCATTCCAGGGTTCCAGGGCTCGATAGCCACTAGCCGCAGGCCCGGTCAGTCCATCGTGGACGCGCTGAAGGCAGGGCCGAGTTCTGGAAGGGATCCTATGGTGTCCCTTCGGCCTAACAAATACTCAGGACTGCCCTCAAGAAAGACACATCTGGGTCTTCCCTCGCATGGCTGGGCGAAATATTCCCAAAGCCTTGCCATAAGGTGAGCTCCGGTTCCGAAGTGTAGCTGGAAGGAATGGGACGAAACAACTGGGGGGTGAGGGGTGGATGAAGTGATAGAAGGTTGTGAATGTCTCCCTCTACTGGTATGCGCCATGCGCCATGCGCCAGCTGTTTTCTTGGCCCGCTCCCTGCTTCATCTTCCAACAACTGGGGGTCCACAGATCATGTGGTTCCGGTTTAGGCTAAGTGTCCTTTGTTTCCTCCCTACCCTTTTTGGGGCTGGTTCCAAAACCACTCCTTGCGTTCCTGAGGCTCAAGAAAGAGGAGACTGGCCGAAGCGACTCGACCTTTTCCTCCTTTTGGATTTCTGCCGGGTTTGCTCCGTTCGCGGCCCCGAAGGAAACCAATCACCTTAAAGCCTTACGTCTTTCGAGGGGTTTCGAGGGGCTTCTGGTTTGAGCATAGGTGGGCTCTGGCTCGAAGCTTGGGTTGGTTGGGTGCTCCCAGGCCGGCTCTGGGCGGTTTGGCTCGAAAAGATGCCCTTCCTCCCACTAACATAGCATTTGTCGGGGGGGGGACCTTGGAGGATTAATTTCCTCCTCAATGGCCCTTTGTCAGGCGCCATGTTAGTGGGAGGAAGCGTAGTTGCCAACAACAGACATTGGTTTTGACAGAAAGAAACACTGATGATTTTGAGTAAAGCTTGTTAGACTACTCCAAAAAGGAGATCGTTCCCTTCTCTTGCTGGAGTGCGTGCAAGGAGACCGCTGCTGGCGTGCAGGGGGAGCTTGAGAAGCACTTTCCAGGCAAAGCCGGACCGGTGAACCCGTGAAAAGGAACATGTTGACCATGTTGTGGATTACATGAAACTTAACCATTTGCTGAAATTAATAATGGAAGTAAACCACCAGGGGCCCGCAGGTTTTAGTCTGTGTTCACATTTTAGGATTACCATGTGTTAGACCTAGTCTTGACCGCGGCCATGTAATTAACCGGTGGTTGGTCAACCCTTAGCATGTCACTTCTCACATCTTCGGAAGGACCCCCCCTCCCGCTTGGTTGCAAGGAAGTTGTTTTTCTTGTCAGGGCTATTGGATTTTGGTGCCACAGAATTAGGAATAACTGTGTACTCTGATTGGGATTAAACATCGGAAGTCCCGACGTTACATGGTCTGTCTGACATGGAAGCCAGGACCAGAACGCCTCGTTCAACATCGAAGTTTTGCAACTTGCCCTCGCCACTACAATCCCGGGGAACCCTAGATTTTGCTGGGAACATGTTTCCAGCCGGCACTTCCGTGTAAAGGAAAACATGTGAGTGAAAACGTGCCTTTTGACCCACACAAGTTTCCTAACATCAACCCACCCGCACGGGTCTCGTGGCAATGGGGCCTCATTCCCCCCCCCAACCCAACACCACCTTCCTGAGCGCGCCAGCTCCACGCCAAACAAACACGCAACCTGAATGTAGAAGTTGTAGGATTGTGAGCGATGAACGGGTGAGTTAGCTAATGTGGGGCTTCCTGAAAAACGAACAACTGGCTTCCCTGAAAAAAGCAACATACACACAACTGGCTTGAAACGAACAACACAGATACAGTATGCATGCCCCATTTGCCAGCAATTGAGAACTCATCACACTTCCGCAGGCGAATTCACGAAGACTAGTCCCTTCCTCTATGGGAGTCTACAGTCCTTGTCCAAAACATCAAGTCCCCGCCCCCGTTCTGGGCCCCGCTAGCAGGGAACTCGCAAAGGAGTCTGATCCTCTCCGCCTCCGCCCGCACTTCCGAAGAGCTCCAGCAACAAGCAAACACAAAAAGAAACAAACAAGCAAACAAACAGACAAGCGCACAACCAACCAACCGACCAACCGACCGATCGACCAACCGACCCACCAACCAACCAACCAACCAAACAAACAAACAATCAATCAATCAAACAAACAACAAACAAACAAGCAAACAACAAACAAACAAGCAAACAAACACAAATCAAGCAAGCACACAAAACACACACACACAAGACTCAATCAAGGAAAATAGAGGGGACACCGGTTGGTCCCATCAAAACAAAACAAACAATAGACAGGCAAGTATCTTTATTTCTTTACTTGCTTGCTTGCTTGCTGGCTGGCTTGTTTCTTTGGTTGCTTGTCATGTTTTGTTTTGATTTTGTTTTGTTTGTCCCTTTGCCTGCCTGCAATGCCTGCAATGCCTGCCTCCCTGCCTGGCTTCCTGGCTGTCTGTCTGTTTGTCCGTCTTTTTGTCTGTCTGACTGTCTGTCTGTCTGTCTGTCTGTCTGTCTGTCTGTCTGTTGTTTGTCTGTCTGTGTGTCTGTCTGTCTGTCTGTCTGGTTCTTTCTTTGTTTCAGCCGTTCTTTGGTTATTTCTGTCATTTTTGGTTGGTTGGTTGGTTGGTTGGTTGGTTGGTTGGTTGGTTGGTTGGTTGGTTGGTTGGTTGGTTGGTTGGTTGGTTGGTTGGTTGGTTGGTTGGTTGGCGGTCGGTGTGTTTGTTGGTTGGTTGGTTTGCTTGCTTGCTTGCTTGATCGATTGCTTGTTGGCTTGTTTGGTGAGTTAGTTTGTTTGCTTTGCTTGCTTGCTTGCTTGCTTGTTTATTGGTTTAGTTGCATTTGTTTGCCTCCTCACGTGCCAACAACTTTGCTGCCGGCTAGGCTGGACACCCGCCCGCGACATGGCCGGGTGCTTGGCTCCACCGAAATCATGCGTCCTGGGTTGCTGGCGGGTGGCACAGGCAGGTAGTTTGTGTCTGAAATGAGTGTAACAGGCAGTGAATGCTTTTCGTTTGTTGCTTTTTAGGTCAGGCGATGACATCTGGGGGTGTTGCACAGAAACATGTTGAGAGGGACGGTCTTGTGCACGCCTTGCGTTTTTTCATCCTGTTTGCAGATTCTGGGGCAGACAAGGCAGGAGCCTTTGAGCGGAAGAACTATCTTCAAGTCGTTTTATGGGATCTTCATGGAGTGAGGTGCGTGACAGGCCTTGATTTCACCTTATGCCGAAGCCCAAAGTGGAGGCCACGCAGAAAGTTATAGGCAAGTGCCTCAGCGTGAGCCTTGGCGCTTCGAACGATACCGAGGCTGCGCAAGTTCATCAGAAAAAGAAGCTGGACCAGGCTGGATGCGCTTTAATCACCCATGACCCGCCAGCAATACCCAAGACTATGCCGCCACAGGGTTAGGATTGCGTACGTAACGCTGATTGAATCTAACGGATCAAGCATTAAGTTTCTGACCGCATCTCCATGGCACCTTGAGAATCGTAAGACCCGTGTGATGTCTAAGGACCAACACCATGCAATCGTGAAGCGTCCGCTCTTTTGCGATGCAGGGCTGTATGGCTCTGGGCACAGTGCATCTACTCTTGAGAAGTGTCAACGGTCTCAAGGGTGGTGACAACACATGTTGTATGGCCGGCATTTTGCAGGGGATCAGCATTCACTGTTCTTACTATTGCAGGCGTGACCTCCAGCCACAATCACGCGTGTTTACTGCAATGTTGATTGAGTGGCACGAGTCGCCTGGAATGGGCGCCTAGCAGTTACCGTCACAAGATACGAGCATTGCTGATTGGGGTCCTATCTCGGACTTGTGCTGGACTGGTCTTTAGAGTAAGGTACTTACTGTCATTCAGTCTATCACACTCATCAGTCGCAAGCTTTCTTCCGGCCATGTCTGGTTGTCTCTCATAATGGCGGGCTTTCCTGCAACCCTGAACATCCCTGCACTCAGCATCTTGACCCGTTTTTGCACTCTCGCTACGGCGACGTGCGTCTTTGTGTACATTGTTTGAGCCACTGCGGCGGGCGTTCCCAAAACAAAGAAACCCAGGTCCAGTTTTGTTCTGTTGACTCATTTGCTGACTGTTAGGAGTTGAGGGCTTGGGACGGAATTGGGGCAGAGAGCAGCCCCAATCCTTGCGCCACGCGGGTTCAAAGTCGACCCGCAAAGTCGAAAGGGAAGCCAAGGCAAAACCACACATCGAGCAAGTTTGCTCACAATCAGTAGGATTTGGACCCCCCCAAATGGCGCAACGGTTTTCCCTCCTGGTTCTCTTTATATAGACACCACACAAAGGGGTACTCTCAAAAAGAACACGCCCATGTGGCCAACAATGCTTGTATGACAACTATCCATCACGGCCTGTCAAGCTGCTCTAGTACTCTCTCAATCAAAAAAGCAATAATTGGAAGTGATGCCATCCTTTTCGTGGGAAAAAAACGGTTTGGAGTGGTGATGTTTTGGGGGATTGAACCACTTCTAGTCGAGGGCAGATGGGACACCACAGCCCCAAGCCTGGCGCAAACCCACTTCCCAGCACTTCGCAGGCGCGCCGGGACAAAGGTCTGGATGTGGAGGGCGCAGAGCGCCTCGGACGCTGCTCCAGGCCAAGTCGGTCCTTTGAAGTTGGGGCCGAAACTAGGTCCCCCAGCAGTGCCCTTTTACCAACTTTTTGGGGGAGGGTTCCGAGGGTTCCCCTACTAAAATAGACTACAGAAGAGGACCTAATTTCCTACTTTGCAGTTTCAGCCTGGGATACCCCGAGAGAAGATGTTGCTTTCTGGAAGTAAGGCATCTAAAAGATGGGCTTGTGTTTTTGGAGGGTGCCCGTTTTGGGACAAAAGGAACACTACTCTTGGGGTCCCCTATTTTGACATTTCGACACATACCAAATGAGACACGGTGTCATCTTTTTTGAGGGTACCTGTTTTGGGGTTGGTGTAAAGGGAATCCAACCGCAACACCAGCATTTGTTGGGCCCCCCGTATTTTTTTACGCAAACCCGTATTGGGCTTTATAGGCTCCCTCAGTTTCCCTTATTATTTCGGCTGCCGAACACGGCTTTTTTCGGGCCCCGAAAGCCACTGGTGGAAGCTCCCGGGGCCGTCACCCTGGTAGCGGGTGGCAGTTTCCTAGGATGTGGACCTTGTGTCGCTCACATCAGGCACACAAGGAAAGCGAGAGGCACGCTGGTGAATTGTTACAAGACAACTATGTTTTTGTTGATCCTGTGCCAAATGCCGCCCTTCAATGAAGAATCACGCATTGCCACTAGTCTTTAGGGCAGAAATTGCGGTCAACCATGCAGGACAGAGACCGTATGCTTCTTTATTCTGGTGCTAGTCGGCAGACTGTGGATCCTTGGGGCGTCGGGAGGCCTAAAGTACACATGCAAAGAGGAGTTCTGGCATCAAACAACTCCCACATCTAGAAGTGGTATCAAATGTTGGTAAATAGAGTTTATTCCTTTGATACCATTCTAGAAAGCTCGATGCATTCCTTCTCTATATGTTCTGTCAGTGCGGCGTGGCAATTGCGTTGGGCTGACAAGGTTTAAGTTGTGTTTTTCTCTTGGTTTCTGCGTTCTTTGTTTCGCGACGCACAATGACATGCACGCAGATCTTCGGGTAATCAATTGGTGGTTTGGATTGGTGGGCACTGAGCATTTGAACCCCTGGTTCTTGTAAAAAGTGCACAGGAACCCCCTCCTGAACCACTAAACCACCAATCCACACCATCATTTGGCAGGAAGCTGAGATGCTACCCTCAAGATGAGGCTCATGGCTTTTGTTCGCCCTATTTCCGAAGAACGAAGCGGGAGCCAAGCTTTGCAGAAGCAAGCGGCAGGCAGTTTCAGGAATGCCGCGTTCCGAAGACAAGTTTTCAATTGCACATCTTATCCAAACAGGGACGAGCGCTCGGGTTCGGGTCTTAACACGCTCTTCGGTGACTCTCATTGCGACACGCCGACTAATAAGCTTCGGCTTTGGCACACTTCAGCCCCTGCTGCCGTTAAAGGCACGGAGGCGCATTGTAATTTTGCTCTGTGGGAATGATAGATCCTTTGTAGACGACTTAATTGAATCCAGGTATTGTAAGTGCTGAGAGTATCCTTTGTGGTACGATCCACTGAGATTCTTCCAGTGTTTCTGGGTCTGCCATCACTTTTTTGTTCCTTTAAGTTGAGAACTTACTAGCATACCGCTGCTCAAACGAATATGCCGCAACTGCACGCTAAACACTAAAATAAGGCTAGGTCCCCCAGTAATGCCCTTCTCTCCCCTTTTTTTGGGGGCCGGGCTCCCCTACTAAACTAGACAAACCAGAAAAACATCGGGTTAGTCTCACCTCTCTACTGGCGGACCTAGAAGAACACCATGCGAAGGCCCAGAGTTCTGCCTTTCGCCTTTCGCCTTTTCCGCCGGCCAAGGGAGAAGGCGGCACCCATGGTCGTCCTGACAGGCCCGTCATCGGAAAGCAATACCTGAGCTCCCCGTGCTGCCACGTCGCCTTACTGAAAGTGTCCATTGGAATAAATGGCTGTGGTTGTGAAAACCCTTCTGGATCCCATTTTGGTTGCGATTGGTGAATTCACCACCCATTTTAGAACCTATTTTGGTGGGGATTGGGATGTTCACTGAAGGGAGCGATTTGGCTTTTGACCCATGGCCAAATGCTACTTTCCCGGTTGGTTTGAAAGGGAGTCGATTTCGCTACTGGACATACTTTTTATGTTCTGACTCCTCTCCAAGCTGGGATATGCTGAGTCCCGAGCTGGAGCTTGCAAGTTCTGGATGCCGCTAGCTGCTTTTGGATGTTCCTCGTGGAAACAAGCAAATAATCATAATTAGACGTAGAGGTGTCTTTCCTTTCAAGCATGCCGGAAACTTACGGATTGTTGCTGGGGCGGACATGTTGAATGATTTGTTTGAACTTTCAGTGAAGAAGTCTTTCTTGATGGACCTCTTTGACGAGATGTGCTCTATGCAGAGAGCATCACATTGGGGTTGCAACCAGGGCCAGTGTCCATCCTCAGCTTAAGCAAATAGCCATTGCCATGCGCATGCTGATTGGCATCACTTCAGCACTTGTTGACATGTTTCCCTTCGCTGCAGCTGATGCGCTATGTGCTTTGTTTCCATTACTGCTGTATACTGTTCGCCCAATGATATAGCCTTCACAGCGCTTGACGCAGGTTTCCATGATCCCCAGAAAATCCTTGAGACAGAGCCCACCTTCTTTCACGGCTAAGATGCTGGTGTCACAGAAATACCACCAGAGCGCTACTAGGTCCCCCAGTAGTGCCCTTCTTAACCCCTTGTTTGGTTGGGAGGGTTCCCCTACTAAAATGGACTACCCAAAAAGATAACGGGTACCCTTATTCTAAGCCCTAGGACTACCACCGGACCAGCCACCGGCGACTTCGCAGGTGCCTCGCTGATTCCCCCCATCCTCCGGGAGCGGACCAATTCGCCCTCCCCATCGCCGCGTGGCTCGGGGTCCGCAACCCCGGCACCAGAGGCAGGGGGCGCTTGGGAGGGCGGGTTGCGACGCACGGTCTGAGGTTGGCTGGGCCTTTGTTTACCTTCATCAAATTCGGGGGATGACTTTTGATAGAATAATTGGGCCAGACGTTTGGCCAAGGTAAAGAAACACGACGGGGATGGGTAGGCCACAGATGTCAAAGGCGAAGCATACAAGATCTGACTTAGTTGGTCATGACCCACATCGCAGCATCCGAATACCCCGTGCAGGACCTGCCGGTGCAGGATTCAGTGGCTGGCATTCTAGCCATGGGGTCTTTTGCTAGTGGCAATTCCAAAGAGACAGGTTATGCCGGCAGAAGTGTCTAGGCCAGGGGGTTTTGGGGTTCAGACCATATTGGAGGAGTGGTTGAATCCAAGCAACGGAGGCTTCCTGCCAAGGCGAATCGTGGCTTTGCTCCTCTCTTTTGCCTTAGGGTCCATGCCACGAGTGAAAAGAGTTCGCATCTTGAAAGCTGCTTCAGGTGTTTGTTCCGTGGCCTTGAAACGGCGCAGGTCGCAACTTCAGACAGCGCATGGAACTCCCGCGGGCATGGAAACGTTCGCCTTATGCGGATGTGGCCAAACGGGGGCCCCTGCATGGTGTGTCTTCCTTGGTTGCTTTCTCTCTGAATCCCCGATTCCCTCCCATTTCGCCCACTACATGCCCGCAGTAAAGGTGTATTGGCTGGGGATCCATGCAGAGTTTCACTGATTCAGAACATTGAAAAGTTATCGATGTGCTTTGACGCCTCAGTTGATGCAATCAATGTGAGCCGCCAGACTCATGCAACGGAAGAGCATTCCGATTGTCTATCACAAGTTGCTATACCTAGCATTGTTGCCTGGCACATGTGTTTCACGTACGCCAGTGGTCACGCTCCGTGTTTACACGCAAAATGCTAACGGTGCATCTGGGCTCAGAGTACCTCATATTCCTCTTAAAACATCACCCCTACCAAGGCCCTGCCAGGCATCTGATCATTTGGTGTTCCTTTGGCAACCATTTGTGGCGACCATTTTTTGGTAACTGTGTTTTTTGGCAACCATTTTGTTTTTGGCAACCATGTCATGTTTGGTGTTCAACCAGGCGATCAACTTTCTTCCCGGGTCATGGAACGGGGACGGTCATTTTCTCGGACCGCGGACAGCGCCAGGATCCCAAGGAGGAGGAGGTGAAGAAGCAGATGGACAAAGCGCGGCGCCCCAGAAATGGAGACAAGTCGGCGCTGCGGATTTGTGTTTTTTCTTTCATTTGCTTAAGAATATGTGTTATTGAAATCGCTACGGGATCCGCCGACGCCAGTGGGGTGCAAAGGATTTTAAGACCTTTTTCATTTTTTCATGGAAGTGATGCTGAGGATGCTGGAAATGCAAGGGATGCAACCCGTACAGGAACAGACCCAATCTTCGCATCCAACATTTCAAGACTTTCAGACACGCAAAATTGACCAAACACAGAAAAAGAGATGCCGGGTATGCTGGGAATGCAGCCGGCTGGCCACAAAAAAGTCCAAAAACCAGTTTTTGTTTTTTGATATTTCCCAAAATAAACCGTCAAAAGCAGATACTAGCAACCCTCAAATACCCCAAACATATTTCCAAAAACGCGATAACGCAGGGGATGTTTCGCAGAAACTGCTCCGTACAGTTGGGGAATTGCAACAAAACACTCATTTGTTGAATTCAAACAGTTCCTCAACGTATCACTGCACTTGGCCCCACCCAAACTCCTAACAGGCTGATTTCAACATCGCTTGAAACAGCAAAACACCATTAGTATCTGCAACAAAGACAAAATCATGGCAGCAAGGTAACTGATGATGCTGGGGATGCATGCAGATCCTGCGCATTCGGGGGAAAACCCCGCCCCTAGAGACCTAGGCGAAACGTATATTTTTGGCATGCAAGCCCCAAAAACACTGGAAATTTACAGGGTTTTGGACACCCAGCCCACCATGCCCAAGAAATGGCAGCCCCAAAAGCCTTCGTCTTTGATAAGAGATCCGAAGGAAAACCAAGTTGCGGACTGCCATCTACACGCTCGACTGGCATCGGCGGATTTCCCTTGTTGGTTCTAAAAGGAGCTTATCACATTTATCACTACTGGAAATATTTTTCCAGGGGTCTCAACCAAATGGAAGTTTTTGTTCACCTTGGTAAAAGGAAGCCAAAAGAACAAGCAGAAATCCCCCCAAATTCGACACATACCGAGCGATTCCCTCTCAACAGCGTTCATGTTACAAAGTTGATCCCACGGTGGGGGGGCAAGAATCGTTCATTTTGGTCGAAAAAATGGGGAGACTCGGACGGAGAGGTGTTCAACTATGTTGACACATAGATGGAGGCCACTCAACTGTTCCTGAGAGGAATCTCTTTTTGTTGAATTTGCGAGAGTAATTCGAGATGTCAATCAGCATCATTCCGTTTTTCTGAGGTTAAATTTTGGCGGCTGCCGAAACTTTGACACTGTCAAATACCTTGAGCCACCAGGTTCCATGGCGGTCGCGTTTGGGTGCCTTTTTGTGGCTATGAGGCTATGAGGCTACGAGGCTATGAACTGGAAACCCGACTGATTCAAGAGTGCTTGGCGGACACAAATTTGTGCCTGGACACTCAAAATTCAGCACACATGTGCCTGGACACCTAAAAAAGTCTCTCAATTGGTTCTTGCTCAAAGGTTGTGGGGTAGTTTGAGGATCCAGGTACCCACTTGATGTCCACCAAAGGGTCCAGCTGCCTGTTTCGATTGCTGGTTTCAATACAGTTTACCACAAGTGCAAAGTTGGTTCATGGTCATTTGAGTTGTTTTTTTGTTTATTTCAAGAACATACATGTATCATGCCAGCCAATTGCAATGATAGCACATGTGAACCAAACAAACGATGACCACATCATTGCGTGCTGTGCATATTCACATGGGTGCGTCCGTTTGTTTTTTTCTTCAGGAAAGCTCATTCCTTCTTGGTTGAAGAAGGGAAGTCAAAGGGAAACCCTTGCCATTTTTGGCTGGTTCCCCCCATTTTAAGACGAAGGCTGCGCTTTCGGTGCTTTGAAGCTTTGAGGTGTTTGTTCTTAAGGCTCCCCGGGCTGGGCTTTCGGCTTTCGTTTTTTGGGATCTGGGTTTGCTTTGGGCCGGCGGGATCCATACACAAACCCATTACCTTCCATTTGCTTGAGGATATTGTTTATTTTCCCTTGTTGCTTTTAAAGGGAATCTATCACTACGGGATGTTTTTTTTTCAGGGGTCTTAACCAAATGGAAGATACAGGTCCCCAGTTTTGACACCAATATCTATCAGAGGGGATCATTCCTGGACATCGATTCCAAGGATCCGCCAAACCATCTAGCAATCACAAACTATATTGAGAGGTCTTAAATTCGCCTTTCCGCCATGTTGGGCTGAGCTCTGGGTTTAAGTGGGGTGATGTGTGTTTAGGAATATGGGTCTGTATTTTTTGAGTTGGTACCTTTTTGGGTACCCCTTTTTGGTGTTTTTAAAAGGAGCAAACTCACATTTTTCGGGGGGAGGTTCTCTAGAAAATACACACCCATATGGGTGTGGCTCACAATCAAACAGGAGAGACAAACCGCAGGTGTTGGTCCATGTTTCCACTTACCAGGGCAACCCGTTTTGGCACCGGTTGAGCCCCAGCCATATGGGGAAAGCCCGAAAGCAAGGCTCAGAGTATTTTCCAGTTCTCCGTTTTTTTTGTTGGCCAGGCTGGCGAGCCGGGCAGCATCTTCTGGACGGGCTGGGTGTGTTTCGCTGGCGGGTCACTCGCCGGCCTCGCGCTTTGCTGGCTTCCCTTACTTTGGGGATCAGTGTGCACCATTAAAACGATGGTTTGGTTCATATGGGTATGGGTCAAAATTAAAACACCCGAACAAGTTTCCATTGTTGGTACCTATTTTTGACCCACAGCCATATATAAAACAATGGGGGTTCATATCACCACCATTGTTTGCCTAAAGATTGTCATCATCAATTTTGGGTCAACCATGCACCGAGCATTCGAGCAGGCCAAGTTGTATGCGGCACGTTGCCAGCTTAGATCACGTCATTGGACCGGCCAGAAGAGAGTTGGAAACGCAGCGACGCGAGCAGATGATGTTGCTGGCTGCCAAACACGCCATTGCTATTGGGTTGGATCTTTAGACTTTAACTTCTTGGATGCCCCTCATATGTCCTTTTCACTTGCAAAAGTTAAACGTTTTGCCGGGGAATCTGCGGGTTTGATTGGGGTGCCTTGCGAAGGCGTGATTGGCTCGGTAGTTGTCAAGATTCGCAACCGTATTCAACCAGAGCAGTTGGACAGTGTCATAAGCCTCCTTTTGTTCTGGTGAAACATATGTGTCTCCTCTTCCGAGGGTTTTAAGCTGTCAAATAATTCGTCTAGCAACGCAAAGTGCATATTTGCACTTGGGCGAGGTGGCTGAAGCAGAGCTGCGTTTTTTTAAGGCCAGTGCCTGGCCTTGCATGGGCACGATGCATCTTCCTCCAGTTGTTACAAGTTGGTTCAACGGCTTGCCATGCTTATGCTCGCATGTTTGCAGCTGCAGCGTCTTGCTTGTACGTGTCACTCGTGAAGATAGTTACTATTACTCAGTTTGGTCAATGGTATCTGCATTCTGGCTATAGGGCGCGTGGGGCTAAACGGTTGCTGCAAACCAATCGCGGACCCCCGTAAGACGGCCCACATTGGTCTACTCAGAGTAGCATTGGAACCCAAAACAGCCGATCAAGTTTCGGGCGCTTTTTGGGGACCTTTCGGCCTGGCTGTATTTGCATGTTTGCATGGGAGTAAGCGCGTGCGGCGAAAACTCGCAGGAGCCCCCACATCATGCGAGCGCAGATCGGGGACATTTTGGAGCAGCTGAACACTGTTGGCATGCCATGGCCCCGGCGGCCGGCGTTGTCAACAGTCAGGCAGACCAAGGGTGCAATCAATAGCCCATATGTCTCGATTTTCCCTTTCCCACAAAAACCGAAAAGGGATTGGCGATTTGCCCCATTCTTCCTGATCTTCTATTTAGCAGCCGGCTAAGAAATGTTTGGCAGCTGAAGTATGACGATAGTTGTTGTTTAATATTGCAAGTTGTGGGTCGTGAGTATGTGTGTGATGTTGTTCCTGCTGCACTTGCAGTGGGAGACCTCGGCATTTTCTGGACTACAAGAGTGAGTGTTGCGGAGGGTACCGGATGCACGTTGCAGTTGTGGGTCGGGGGCATTCCAGTTGACATCATTCACGTGGGTTTGTCCGGTTCACCAACTTGTCCAAGCCCGGGTGAGATCCGGAAGCACCTCGTTTTTGATTGCGGCTCGCTTTTGAACGCGGGGCAAGTTGAACCTAAACCAACCCAAATCTCCATAATCCTCCCCCAAACCCAAAACCTTTACCCCTTGCACCAATCCTTTAAACCAACCCTAGGCCAGTCTGGCCAGCCCAACGAAGCTGGGCTCTCGGGGCACCCCATATGGTTTCTCGGAAGCTATTGGGATTTTTGAGTTGTATTTTTCATTTTCGCACATGTCTGCATTTTCCCACTCCCACCCAGTTTAACGTTTTGAGCCAGGGGAACAGCCAGCAACTCGTGTTCCTGACTCTTTTTGGTGGCTTGTGTAAACATAGTCAATCTGCCTTTTGCCTATCAGGGTGAGGCAATCAAGAGCCTTGGTAGTTCTTTCGCAGAACAAATGATACTGGTAAATGACGACCCCCGTAGGTTTTTGTTCCTGGCCTCAAAAGCCTTTTTTTGCCGTTCAACTTGACCTCAAAAGGGCATGGTCGAGAAGCTGTTCAAGGTGCCTTGTAGGTTCTCGAACATATGTTCAAGTTGCGGTAGCTGTAGGTTCTTCCTGCCTGGC